CACCTCATTTTGATCGATTTGTGCACGTTACGGGTAATTTTATTGATTTTCAAAAAAAGACTAAACGACTGTCTAGTGCTCCTTATCGGAGGTCATAAAGGCAAGTACCCGTAATTAAACTGTATTCACCACGTGGGAACAAAATGAACTCCCATGAGGTAAACATCTCACCCAAGACCGCCATCATCGATCACCGAGTCGTGTAAAAATTGTTTGACCCAACAGACCGCAAGTTGAATTAAAATCCAATTCGGGATCACATATTGATGAATGCAATGATACAATAAATTTCGTCAAAACTGTTTCGTGCAGTCATACAAAAAGCCAGTTCATTTCCGGACGTCAATGACCATATTTAGCCTCCATTCAAAATGTGTTCGATGTTCATAAGGTCTTATGACCGAAACCAGTGACCCATGACATAAATATAAAGCCATCTAGACGAATGAAACATGGTCTATCAAAATACAGCATGAGACTATTCAGATCAGTTTAGAAATCATGTACCATGTATCATGTATCAGCTGTCGCGGTTCAACAAAAGCCGTTCCTTCCAGCACGATCCACCAAAAAATCATGTACAGTGAAGAAAAAATCAATAGCAATCTCAACAAAATACTGGGACTGTAATTTAGGTTCGTGAATGCACGAGCTCGACGCCTCGAAAAACTGTGGGTCGCAAATTATTGCTACATGTTAACCGGGAAATTCCCATCTACTTTCTTCAAAATTCTCGAATGATCTTCTAGCGATCATTACGAATAGCGCATCTATCTAGAGAAGGCTTCTGACGTAAAAGATTAAGCAATGGGGTGTGTTTGTCAATGAAGCAAGCGATTGCGCAATTCTGTGGAAATTTTATCCTTGCCTATAAGTAGACGTGCTAGNTGCTAGATATGGCAGGACAGCATTACGATAAGCAGAGGTACGTACAAATAACAGTAAATTTCGAGCGTGTGGATGATGTAGATACAGCTTTTGGAAATCCGTTGTGTAGTGGGTGGTAAGTGTCTCATGCTTGTAGGTGTCTATCAATGATAGAAATGCGAGTTTATCCCTGAAAATGCCACTAAATTTCGAGATGTGTTTCGGAGATCTCGCCAGTAAATGAAAGTCTTTATTCAACTTAGCTTTCAGTAGCTTCTTCAGGTATGTGGCTGGTTCGATAATTGGTGAGCTGAATATGTCTGGCAGGGCAGTGCACTGTGAAACTGGACTAAACTCAGAATTTAATCGTTCAACGTCTACAGTTTCCTTTTTGTGTTTACGGCTTTTGCCACACAATTGGTTGATAGCTCTCTACATGTCGCGACAACTCGAGTTTCCTAGGATGATGTCGATGTAAAGTGTCTTCAACCGATTTATTTCCGCTTTGATCACAACTTTTAGCCGCTTGACAAGGATTCTTTGTCCTAGTTTATAGGCTTGTTCTTTCCACCTGCGTAGCTGCTTGAATAGCGGTAATGAATATCTGTATTTATGGATAAAGACCGTTCCAAGATGGCAGCATTGGTTAAAACAGAAATTAAGATATTCCGTAACATGTTCACAGAGGATAGAAGAGTTCTGATCAGGAAGTACAAAAAAATCAGTGGCAGCAATCATGAATCTTAGTCTTTCTGGGTTCTCTGATGAACAATTTCTTTAACCACTATCTTCTTAAAAATTTGTATCGGTTGGTTTTGCTGTATAAAGTGGGACATGCTTTTAAGATGCAATGCTCTGAACTACCCAGAGGAGTACGTTGATGGACTTCAAAGTTTGCAGTCTGTTTGTAAAAACGAAATCAAGTTGTGAATTGAGTCTGTTAGGACAATATATCAATTGTTTTAGATCCAGAGTGATGAGGGATGTTACATCATGTCTGTTAAAATTACTAACAGATATACAGAAATAGTCACCTGCTTTTCATATTCGAGAGGTAGAAAAATGGTCAGAAAAGCTATTTACGTCAGCCACTGATATTGTTGGTGACAGGTGAAAGTTTCCAAGAAGTATGGAATGAAACCCACACAAAAAACGGGGCTTACATTCGATGACGTGACAACTGATTTTATCCGTTGAGTATTCAAAGATGATAGTGGTTGATTAATCCCAGTTGTCGCTAACGTAACTCGTAACACCTCCGCCTCGTTTACGGACACTCACGGGACGGTCAACCCGATACAAGTTATATCCATCCACTTGTACAATTTAACTAGGGATTTCTTCGGGCAGCCTCGATTCCTGAAGCACAATAATTCCCAGATTTTTGTTCTCCTTTCTTCGTGTGATGCCTACTACCTACTCGACTTTTCCCAACAGAGGACGAACATTGCTTCCCAAAGCGAAAAGAATTTACATTCGACTGGTGCTGCACTGTCTGAGAGCGGCCTGCCAACCTGCTCGATGTTTTCTCTTTCTGCCGTTTTATGCTTTGCTCGTCCGCTTGAACTTATTTCTCACATAGTTGAAATATTTCACATAAGGCGCAGTTCGCGTGATAACATATAAAGATTTACCCCTCCCCTCTCCTCGCCTCATCCAAAATGACCTTGTGACCCACCGTGAAAATGTGTCCCCACTAACAACAAACTCTTATATGAATGATCTGTACAGGCACGATTATGAATCATTCGAAAACAATTGTTCGCCTTCGGACTTGTGTTTTGATATAAAGATATCATAAACGTGCTGGTGTAGAATATCATTTGGTGTCCTTGAAATTGATAACAATGCGATTTGATGACAATAAATCCGCAAGTGTAAATAAGAATTCCGAGATAAATAGCGCGACCGAATTCAAAGGCCTCGCGTCAAGGTATTTGCTTACTGAATGGAGTGGGGCTAATATACATGGTGAATACGGCATTGAGCACAAATTTATGCAAAATATCATCATGTGTGTCGGGTTCACCCACAAACGATAAAAAATCGCACTGTGTATGATTCTGGTTCACCATCGACATCAAATACAGCCACAAATGTGTTTCAGTGGTTAGCATTTCCGCAAAATCTTTATCAGTTCACTCTGACTGCTCCGGCACAAAAGCATGTTTTCACTTTTGACTTGTTCATCGACTTAAGGTCTTGTGATATTGAGACTGATTCAGAAGTTGTGCGTGGATTTGGTGCATTGATATAATCAAGCCATCCTGGCGTGCGTGAGAGAAGACATCTTCGTACCGTGTGCTCCAAGCTATTGAGTTCCGTGGTCTGTAGACCAAAGCAAAGCATGCAGAAACTGGGGGTCCGCCATGACAGTGGCTATTTCAACTACTAAAATCAACATACTGAACGTCACAACAATTCAAGACAGTTACTCTCAGACTTTATCTCTACGCACATTCCTGAGCTCTTCCAGTCAACCATACACTCGGTAGCACTAGACTTGAGTTTCGCCCTTATTAGGGCTTATTAGTATTGCATGTCCAGGACCCTGTCCGAGGTTTGAACTCTGGACCCACGACATTAGGGGTGTTTATGCTATTAGTGTACCAAACAGTTCATACCTGGGCTGAACTGAATTTCCAGTTCGTGGATGATCTGATGGATGGTCTTCAGTGAAAATCAGTTTATTGTTGGCACGACAGCAACGAAAGAAGATAAAGTTGATTGACTGTCAACTTGAATCAAAAGCCTCCCACAAAATCAGATCAATTAGTAGTGATTCACATTAAACTCACAATTACTTTTGTGAGTAGTGGTGTGGGCAAAACTGAATTGACTGAATATTACTGCAGATGACACCTGAACAAGCATGAATCGGCAATTCAGTTCAGCCCTNGCCCTATATGAGCTGTTTGGCACATTAATAACAACCAGGCCGTGCATTCGATGAGTTTGGACCTCAAAACCCGGACGGGATGATGGGCTTGCCCTAGTAAAAGTGAAACTCAAGTCTAGTACTCCCGAATGTGTGAGTTCATTGAAAGAGCTCAGGAATTTGCATCAAGTTGCAGTCTGAAGAATAGTTTGTTCCATTAAACCAAGAAGTGTACCGAAATGCGGTTCAATGCGAGCAGGTTTTAGTCTGTTCGCCCTTACATACTCTATGACCATGGATTTCACATGTGAGAATCAGGTCACTGAGATGATTAGTAGCAATAACTCAACAAAAAAAGGTATTCAATATGTGTATTATCCGTCATCAAACAACACAAAATGCAACTCCCCTTTTCGTGATTCGCATTTGTACAAAAGAGCAGTGGCCGCATTCGTTAAAGAAATATCGCTTAAGTGGGTACTAATGCAAAATAATCGATTGCTCAAATTTGATGTTCGTCGAAATATTGACTTGTGAAGGAATAGAGAAAAAATATAACAGTATTCCTTATTTATTCCTTGAAGATAATGAAGCAACGGACTATTTACTATTACGTTTTATACCATATTAACTTGAGGCACCGAATTGGTGACGAAGATTTTATGAAACGAAGAGGTTTAAAGTGAGAAGATGTGGCACATTGAAAGGTGTTAAAAGCTTATATGTGACGCGCAAAGTAGAGTCTGAAACGCATATGAGAGGTTGAAACTTTTGCAGCAGATACTCATCTCTTGAACTTACCTGAATCGTCGTCTCTGTGATTTCCAGTGTTCACGGTGTGGTTCACGCGAGCTCGAAATGAGACCATTCGAATCAGAAGAGGTTCGAGCCATTTTGGAGTGCAGGTTACGTGACTGTCCAAAAATACGAGGACTTCTGCCATCGCTGCCCGGGCGCCAACCATCCGAGCTTTGATGAGACCATACCGTTGTGGATTCCGAATCAATTTCACCTGGAACGAGGGAAAATATTCGATCCATTCATATCAAAATTGTCCTCGTGCTTCAATACTAATAAAAATAACAAATTAAACTGCTGGATTAGGAAATTGCAAATTGCCATTGAAGCCGTGAGATCAAGCATCAAGTGACACAACAAAACAATGGTAACATTTCACTCGCAGTGAATTGCACACTGAAATGAATGATATTGATTTGGACTGACTCGGCGTTCGACTTCATGTTTACGCATGATCCTCCCTTCATCTTATCGACTACAGACTCGGGAAGCACTGGACTTGAGTCTTGCTCTTAGAAGATCTCATCCGTAGGGCAGAATCTACCCTATCGTGCAAACTTTGCACTGTAGACCCATCACATGATGACGTGTATACTACCAATATTTGTATCATGTGTCTCTTAGAGGGAATAACTAGAATAATAAGCATGTTTGCACTCGGGACGTCAGAAATAGTTACTCATTGATTGTTAACCAGGCAGAATCTAGGACCCCCCCCCCACTCAAATATCTTTGAGGCAAATCGAAACAAAACGCGGTCCAGTAGTAGATGTGCTTAGAGTTAGGTTGTCTGAACTTCCAGGGGAGATCAGATTGAATTATAGGCTTAGTCTTGAGGTGAAAAGATAGTATGGATATCTTCCTTTGTTGCTCTCGAGCCAAAATAATTGATCGAACATATCTGAAGATGAAATCTGAAATAATTTGAATTGATTGTTCTAATCCAAACCAATAAGGGTATCTTATGTCTTGAGCCCAGAGTTAAAAGCTCGGACGATCCTGTGCATATTCTTTACTGATGCTCTAGTGAGCTCTGGTGAGAGCTTAAAAACTCAAGTTGAATGCATCCCGATTATTTGGACAACTGAATCAAATGAGAATCGTACTTCCAGACGGCGTCTGAGGAATGATACGTCCAAATCAATAACGAAAGACAATAGCCAATGATACTTATGGAAACATTTTGAAAACTCCATTGACTCAGCGAAACATTCCACGATAGCATGAAAAAAAACAAATGTGTACACTCATATGAAGTGCCCCGTAAGATTGTTAGTGATATAGTTGATAATACTCTTCTCCATACTGTAGAGCAAAATCTCCAAACTTGAAAAAATCTTTTGGCAGGTTGAACGGCCACAGAAGGTTTGTCCAACTCATTTATTGGCTGTTAAACAATTCAGTGGAAGTCCTTATTCCCTTTGTCTGCTTAGTTACACTCACCTCCCGTAGAGCATTCATTCAAATTAGTGCTCGTAAAATGTCGACCAGAATGCCGGCGTCATTCATTGGCCCTCAGAGTGTGTACAGTATTTGGAATTCTCCACCATCCCACGTTGTTTCTGTGCTCACGATTGATTCCTTTCAATAGAAACTGGATGAAACTTTTGCAAGTCTTGAAATTCGATATCCCGTAACAGAGCAGGAAACAAAGATAATTTGTGACATTACTCATCTTTTTACGAACTGTAAATTGATCCGGTATAGGTAAAACTTATGACTGTTATCAGCTGTGTTCAGCGGTGTTCATTGCACCCTTTATATTTCTCTGGCTTCTAATAAACCTAAATTTCTCACTGTTGAAAAATTAAAAATACCTAATATTACTTCCCAGTTGACCATTTTCTCCTGCCTCAAAACAGGTCGCATTTTGTTTTTAGGAAATCCATGAATAATCTTGGTGAAGTGTTCTACCAAGGGAACTCCTCAGTATCATCTCCACAAACGGATATAACACACATTCCAAAATGTAACGGACTTCGAGGAATCAAGACGTACGTGTTACGATTTGAGATAACACTAAAACTGATCTGAAGTGAAACTAGTGAATCACAATGGTTCATACTGTTCTGGTTTGAACGCATCGGCGGGTCCTGGTGCGAATGAACACACTGATGACGAGTGTCTGTAAGAGGGGTCTAAATTACAGAAATTAATTTCTGTCCCTCGTGTCAGGCAAATAGAGAAGAATCGAGTGTGAATGACGCTTCACATTTTATAATCTTTTCTTCTGTAGTCCATAATAGGATCACTGGCACAATTTCTTACTATTCCTAATCTGGCATAACAACTGAACAGGTATAAGCTCTACACATCAGTTGTTCACTAATAAAATTTGGTTGAAATTAAAGAAAATTATCCATTCTTCGGTATTTCTCTGGGTTCTGGGAACTCGATGAGACCGGAGAACCATAAACACTAGAATTCAAACCCTAATTAGTCTAACAGGCTGAGACTTATTTCGTTCTCTTTCAGAAACAAATGTGTGCACCACGGGCAATCAGCAGACAGTTGAATTCTTAGATAACACAACTTATAAAAATGTGAACTGGTTATTGCAAGACAAATGTGTCCGTGCGGGGCTTACAACGATCGCGGATGTCAAATAAACGGGGAGCGGTGCAGAACAGATTTCTTCCAGTAGGCACAGTGTTTGAAATCAACAGAATGAGCGGTAAACCCCTGGACCCACGAACACGTGCTTTTCACTTCCAGCCACCAGTTACACCGAAACCTGGGGATTACTGGAGAGGACTCCGCTAGCTTATGCGTTTGAGTGGGCTGGGCGACAGCTTGTCTGTCTACGACCAATATTCGGTGTTCTTTATTAGTGGTGGTGTTGTTGTTGGTGTTGTTCGTGGTGGTGGATGTTTCAAGTTTTACCAGTGTCAGCGACTCGAACCGCTTCAACACAAATATTCATAACATGAGCAATGATTTTTCAACAAATAGCTTAATAAATGACCTCTGATAATAGGGTATTCGCTAAAAAACGTTGCATATGAATTCAGTGTATGTGTGCATGCCCGTTGGAGTGAGAGCATAGATCAGAAGAAAACCGCCAATGCGCAATCTATGGAATTTGATAAGAAAAAAAAACAATACAACTATTGTGCATTCAGTGTAAACGTGAGAATAAGACACTTAGAAATATTGATCGGATATATGAATAGTCTCAGTGTGCATGAGGTCCATTTGTCGGAGTCACAAACTAAAAATGAAAATTTCAATTGGCAGAGGAAATCCATTTTAACTTCAAAAAGGTGTACACAATGAAAATTTCAAAATGAATGACCGATTCTGTCTTACTAGTGCTATGGCGGTTCTATCGAACGTACAGCTAATAAATGAAACCGCTCAAATCAAGTCTCATCTAAAATATACACCGAAGGTTTACTAGAAAGTAAGACCATAATAGCTTCAAGGAAATCGATATTCCTCGATTGAACACGGTGCATTTTTGATATCCAGATAGCTGAGACATTTTTCCGGGTTTAGTGGTTTACCTCATGTTCGCATAATGCATCATATTAAGGCCGGTCACCCTTCCCTTGCACCTCGTAAAATGCTTCCATGGGACCAAGCGTCTCAAATAGCCTCTGCTGAGCAAACCCTACTCACAGCCTTCTCNGTTTTAGCTGAGCCCCCTCCGTCTACACCTCACGAAATGCTCCCACACGAAAAGCGTCTCAAATAGCCTCTGCTGAGCAAACCCTACTCACAGTCTTCTCGTGTCGGACGTGTTTTCCCACCAAAGCGAGAAGACGAAAAGCCGACATCCGCGGCTATAACCGAGTTGGTCGACCACTGGTAGCTCACCTAAGGCAGTCGGCCAAAACTCTCGATCCCTAACCAACCAAGAAGAGGTGTATGAACCACAACTACTCATACGTTTCCGATTGTTACAGTGGTCACCGGCTCGATTGGACATCGATATGTATTGGACACCTTAGACCATTGACCCCTTCTCAAAGGGCGTATGATCCGATTAACTGGATACGCGCCCTCAATGGATTACGATTTTCACACACCACCCCGCTGCCTTCTAGGTCAGGCTGTGATAGCCGAAGGCTCCGGTCGTGAATTCCTCAAAAATTGTTAGCTGTCTTGGCCCGGGGCAACCTGACAGTATTCCGTCCATATGCAAATTATGGAACGTTTTTCTTCTTTATAAAGATTATTGTACCATGATTTATTCGGCACACAGTTCGGATTCAGACGTGTGTGAAAATATAATTAGAGATTATGCTACTCTGTAAACCGCACCATATCCAAATATACTTTGATTTCCTCTACTAGCTCCAAGTACGAACACACTCAGGTATAAAAACGTCCAAATCCTCCATAATGTTTTTCTATCTTACCCGCTTTTTGTGTTTTATGTGGGCCGTAGTTTCACGGGTTCGTCCACAGCATCCAGTTAGCTCCCTGAACTCCGAAGTTTTTATTCGTTTTTTTGGGGGGGCCATTTGGCAGCTAAATTTGCACCCGGTGGTATATTCAAGCAATTGACTTGACCGGGACTTAAAACCTCAAATTTAAGTACCATTTACGGCACACTTTCCATACAGTAAACTTGAAACTGGTTTTCGGACAATCATATCATTGGATTTGATTACCCTAATACGCCTGATCTGTGGTGCTGTGTTCAACTAACGAAATATGATACTTACCAACAAACACGGACTGAGGGACTGCTGGAAACTAAACAAGCCCCCAATGCTATTAAGAAGACGGTTGCGTCTTATAATTGAAGTGTCATGGATTGATTTGACAGAAGCTAACCAGTAGAAGAACTTGTTTACCCCAATGAGTAAAATATCAAAATTCTCACGAGATTAACAACGGGCTCGAATCATTTCGTCTCAAAGGATGCGTATTAGGCTAATCAACGGATTGATCAATAATTCACCATTTTCATACACATCATATACTGAACTTACAATGGATTAGTTAACTTCAGGCCAAAACATTGAACGGGACATGAAAGTTGATTGTAATGACCAAATCCCTGTAGTAATCATGATTGGAAAATGTGTACCAAACGATGTAGCTATATCCATTTTCATAAAAATTCTCGTATTTAGTCCAGTTACAATATGTACCGTAATGGATACAAAAACAAATAATGTTGTGTAATCGCATCAGCTGCTGATTACGAATTTATACTATTACAGTGAACCATCTTACTAAATAGCGAGTAGTACGGACAATAAATACCATAAACCCATAAATCTCGATGAAATATCTTTCTATTCTGACTGATATGGACTCTTAAATCGCTGGCAACATAGCCCTACAACACTAGTGCAGTCTCATATATATATATACATATATATATATATACATACATATATATATATATATTTGTCGCAAGAACCTCATTTGCAACAAGCGACAAATTTGTTTTATAGATCTGTTAGAACCAGCCCATTTAAGAATTAGTACTATAATACGATGTTTCCAAGTGAGTATGATGCTACTAACCGCAATCAACGTGGATTAGGCGCCTTCATTGTAAGTTTTACAATAAGTACTATATGAATGACTTAAAAAAATGTCTCATGAAGCCCATCACCGATTTCGTGACAAAAGATTACCGGATACGCATGCCTGACGGGCGGCAAGAACCGCGAAACCAATCGTGCGTTTCCACGTGAATTTTATCAAGTCGCTTACATAATAATTATTGTGAAATATAGGTGTGTTGAACTGCACCTGGTGGAGTGATCACCTAAACCCGGTTATCCACCTGCTTTACACCACGATTAGCACTTCGTGTTGAAGAAATCCATGTGATAAGGTGAATACCTGTTCCCAAAAATGTTATTGGCTTGTATTTAATCGACATATTTGGCGCATATCAATTATAACTCAATTAATAGCTTTTATTCAACCGTCGCGGATGACGGAGCCCGAGTTTGGGTATCTACAGTCGAATTACCACTGCAAGAAGCGTTTTTGGTTCCGGAATCCTTACCCAACTTAATTTATGGCTGAACGATCTATACTTCAAACTAATTTACGAATTGGAGTATAACTGTACGCTTTTTATACACACAATGATCCATCATGTTCTATGGTTCCCTTATCCAGGACAAGATTGAACACTGCAAGATTTTGTTTTTGGCAACAAAATTGATGAACTTCCATTTGCATGGTGCAAGAACCAATAATACGATCTTTTATAAAACAAAGAGGAACTTTTTTGCGTCAATCCAAGCTGCCAAATACCCTGACGAATTGAAACTTCCTGTGATAGGTGTGTGTATTTCTATTCCAATCTATCTCATATGCGAAACAAATAACGTTACAATAATCGCTAGAACAAGGAACAAACTGCATGATTTGCTAATGGGCTGAAAACTGCCACGTCGATCTTTGCCAGGCAGGCATTTCTTACAGGTGATGTGAGAAATGTTGTTGAGATTTTCAGTTTATATCCGCCGCATTTAGCGTTAACCATGTCTACAATTCAAGTGATATTATTTTGTATTTTGGTTGCATTGCTTAGTCAGAGACAAAGAAGGTAGAAAACCATAGGAATTGACACCCAGAACCTCGGGTGGGATTAGAGACACTTGCGCCCCCAGAACCCAATCGGGCTGGATACGATACCAGAGCACATTATTACACAGCGGTATGACACCCTCTTAGACGGTTTTGTTTTTAATCAATAATCAACAATTTAGATGCGATAATGTCCGTTCAAAAACAGACTAAACAATTTGTGGACCTTAATCCTAAAATTTCTATTTCAATTTACCCTGAATGACATACCAACTGCCTGCTGGGGTCATCAGTCTTTTGGGCTGACAACTGCATATCATAATAGGATTGTGTGCTGCATAAGCGGTTTTACCTAAGCCACCTGGCGCGTGATGTTTGATTTAGGCGTGCTCTGACGTATATTATTTGGTGCATAAACGGGGATACATTTAAGTTCACAAATGCGCAATTGTAATAAAACTACTATCTGGTTTCAGCAATACTTATTTTTT